AATCAACATTGAGTCATTGCGCACAGGCACAGAAGCCAAGTAAATAAAAACGAAGAAAGGAGACAAAATGACTCCTCAAGGAGTGTTTTATTCGATAGCAGCGTGCAACCTGTTTTTGAAAGAAAAAATAGTCATTTATGAGGGAAATAGTAGATAGAGCGACTCCATAGTTTGCAAGAGTGAACATAAGCTGATCCATGTCAATATCTCCAAATGCACCACTGTAGTCTAAGAAACAAACTCCTGCCACTCTACATTTATCGAGCGATGACAGAGGAAAATGCACTAAGGAGGCTAGAGCATCAAGGGCAAATGGTTTTTGACAATAGAGTAATCGATTACACTCAGTTGTGTTCAACTATGTAAAATTATTCTTTCAAATATCTTCGATCCGATCGAAGTACGGGCCATAAGACGAAATTTCGGAACCTCTCTTGGGAATCGGTATAATGTTGGCTTTTCTCCCGCCATCCCTTATGGAAAATTGGTAAAACAACAGTTGGAGATTTCGGACAGGACAGGTGACGGAGTACTGGCGCGTTCTTTTAACACAATTGGTTGTAATCCATCTGGTCCGCCGGTGTTGTGGGGGTTTAATGATTGTAATACTTCGCGTGTTCCGGTCGAATCAGTCACCCACAGAATGGTGTGATATACTAGGGGAAAGGGGAAAGTGGGGGGGGACTCAGGCCTTTGAGCCGACTTGAAGTTGGATTCTCTGATGAATGCACCTTTTACATTTTCAATATTGACGGACGGAGAGCGATCTCTGACGGAGGAACCACGGAACTGTTTGAGCATTCACTAGGTTTCTTGAGGGCCTTTGAAAGAATGCGTCAAACATTTTCATGCATTTCGACAAGGTCTTCATCAAATGATATTCCTCCGAGCTATACGCGGGTCCTTTGTTCGACGCAGTTGGTTCAGAAGGGGCAAAGAAAAACGGCGTTTCTCATGGACAGCAAACATCGAAACAGAAGAGGGGATAGTCAGTTAAGTGAAGATAGAAAGTTCATATGTCAGGGTCGGAAAATGTGGAGCAATCTGCCAAAGCAACCGCAATCCTGAGTCTCATGATTTTCGGGATAAAGTTGTCGACTTCAAAGACTGTCCTTTTTTGACAACGAGTAAGATGTTTCTGGTGAAAGGAGCTGAAAACCTTGAGGAAATTGTTAATGATAACGTTATCATAAGACCCACCACGAAAATGGGAGGAAACTGAAAGCTTTTCGGCGTTGTTCAGAAAAAAATAGATCAAAGGTAGCATCTGTTTTGCATGGAAGGATACCAAATTTTCCAAACTCGATATAGTTAAAATTGGGTGTCAAAGTGGTTAAAATCATCACACACCATACAAGGAGAATTATCTATACAATCTATGGAAGCAACAAAGAAAGAATTCGGAAATTTGGGAAATTCATCTCAGAGGCAGGTAGGGGCGATATATTTGGTCGAGAAACTAATTGACCAATATTTGTTTAGGTAGTTGGGTTGCATTCAAGACTGAATGCGTTAATGTGGAGGGTGGATTGATGAAAAGTAATAGTGGAATAATGTCACTAAGGATGCCTAATGTGCTATGATATCTACTCTACGCCCTTGAGATTGGATGGGACACTCACCGCCATAGGCCGTAAACACATCACATTTGACAACCTGGCCATCTATTTCCCGGTGTAGCCATGTTTCCTGAACGAAATTCACTCCACGTTGGGAATATTCTCGAAATTTTCAAGCAGTGAACGGTCATTACCGCTAACAATGGTGGGAACTCACATCTGGGAGATATTTATTTCGCAAAGCCACTTTCCAGTTGCTGCGGATGTCCTCGTGACATTAAAAAAAGAATTCGTTTGAATCTTTTGCATTCAGTTATTCCAAAACAGCAATTTCCAGAACGGGGATCGGGGAAAGTAGAGATTTTGTTTTACCGTAATAATATTTCGTGACGGGCATCATTAGCATTGAATAGTGAAGTGTTACGAAGCGTTGACCCCATTTGAAATATCAAAGGAACACTGCGAATGGAGTGACCTGAAGACGGAGGGCGAGAACAAAAGGTGGACAAATCAATTTCATCGGGAAACGGTTTAGTGGACAGTGGAGCTATGTAATGGTGAATAACTGACGTGCACGCATGCATTTCGCAGTTGCGAAACTATGTATCCTACCCATTCCAGATCGTAATCCCGTTGATGAATACTAACAGCTGGTGAGAAATTGTCTACCTCCGTTTCAGTAAAACACTTAATTGCTGAACATGCATTGTTGCATTCTATTGTGATCTTTAACTCCGCATGCTGTCCCAGGTTTTGGAGTAACCTCATTATTACCTCATATTTCTGACGATTATTTGTAAGTGCGGAACGTTGGATTCCCTTTGTCCAATACTACTAAAAACAAACTACATTTTCAGAGCACACAAAAGTAACGGCTTTTAAAATTCCTTGGGGCATCATCTCTTGAATTAGGTTTACAGTTTCCATCAGAGGTTCAGTGGTGGGAAAAAAGACCACAGCAAGAAAAAGAACAAAAAGAAGAACTTCGTATTTTTTATAACATCACTCAGGTGCAAAGTATCCCTTAAGTGAATGTCTTGCTAGTCTCCTAATAGACTGGCTATCCACCGCGGTGGGCTGAGTTAGTTATGAAAGCCGTTGAACCGGGCGATACTTCATGTCTGTTTAGTTTGAGTTATCGACGTTGTCGGGGTATGATCAAATCTACGGACTTAACATGTGTAAGATGATTCAAACCGTCTGTGATTTGACTTTCTACCTTCTCCGTTCAGCTTTCTTCTATTGTGCTTCCCCATTAAGCTTAAATCTATCGTGCAGATGTTGGCCTGATGTGTGACGAGCTCTATCACAATAATGCACAATACTCTTTCAGGCCTATTCGGGATAATTCATGGGCTGTCTCTTCGGCTTGATGGTTGTGCCTTACAAAAGTTCGGATAATGAATGCGAACTTCGATCCCGATAGTACCAGTTGAGCGTATCCATAAAAACGACTTTGCTAGAGACAACAGTGTGTGTGACACGATCCCGGCCAATGTGGAATTTCAGTCGAATAGCGTATAGCGGCGTTTTATATCCCAGTCAAAGTTTTCCCGAACACCAGTCTGACAATCTGCGATAATGACTTGCTTGGATCTGCTTTTGCGGGTTTTGTTGCCTATTGTTTGTAAGCTGTTCTTCGTTCTCGTGATGTAAGATTATGACAGCCCTTTGATTGGCCCTCACCCCTTCCTGAATATTGCATCATTATGTATTTAATAAAAGGAAGTAAAAGTGAAAAAAACAATACAGGTCAGGCAAGTGTTCGTGCGCGTGGGTGACTATTCCTATTCATCTTATTCAGTCCGTCCCAATCAGTCCATCAGAACCGCATATGCTATTCGTCGTCCGTTTCGCTAAGCGTTCGATTTTGTGCTGTGCACCATGTGCTTCTTTTTCATTCAGTCAATTCTCTCTCATTTTACTCCTTCACTCCAGGCTCGTTCGAAATCACCGTGGGGCAGACGTTGATTTTCTCAAAACTTCAATGTGGCCATTTTCCAGAACCGCAGGCGGTAAGTTTTGTGGCTGAGTTGACTTCGCTTATTTTGCTCCATCGTCTAAAACAATTATATAGCTCCCCTCTTCCCGGTTAGTCGTACTGATTTCTATTCCACCTGCAAGTCTCACGTCCAATACCGAAATTTCGACCCGAAACGACCTGTGTGCATTTGGCAACATTCGTTTCATAAACGGGTTTGTCCATTAGTGTTGTTTATCCGATGGCAGATGACCTCATATACAAATTGACTCGTAGCGTTGCTTCTGCACCGTGTCCGTGTAGATTATTGCTAGTGCACTGCAGAGAGAGAAAGAGTTGCCTGTACAGCTAACGCCATTCAACGCTCTATTCAGCTTCGTGACCTCGTGCGTACGGCGACTGGGTCAAAACCAAAAAAAGACTGAATGCACTCATCGAGGCATTAGTCATGTCTTGTGATCTATCTTCTATTTTGGCATCAGCGCAAGTAAACATCACGTTCTAGTGCACACGATGTGAGTAAATACTTGCTCTGGTTCTGTTTTTACACGTTTTGACACCTGGGTACAGTTAGTGGCGTGTGTGCAAGGCTTCTACTGGAGCATCTGCTTCTAGTGTTAAACGTCTGCTGTCGATAGCTCTCATGATGCTGGAGTAGTACCCGGATTAGTGCGCAAGTTCTGTTGTCAGATCACGTCCAGATGGGAAGTCAACAATGTGGGGTCAATATGAGGGCCATATTGGCGATTGTGTGTTTCTCGACTTTGTTTGTGTGCATCAGTTAGTTGTATTAATCTCGGCGATTTTATCGGCTGCCTCCATGTTCATCCAGGTTCCATGGAACTGAAAAGCACGATCAACTGCTGGTTAGCCTATGATCTTCCCACAGTACCGACCAGTGTCAGGTTCTGTAGCGTTCATTTCCAGTCAAGTAATCGTTTAGCACACGTCAACCGGTGAATGTTTAGCAGCCACGGTATTGTACAGAAATTTACCAATATAATTAATATGAACGATGAAAGACAACAGTACCATAGCAATGATGACCACTTAAGCTTCAAATTATACGCAGGTCAAACGCAACCAGTCCTGAATGCTCACAGGAGCAACAAAACCTATCGGGTTGAACGTGCTCATATCGCTTTCGTGTGGTATGACAAACAATGACAGCCCGGTGTTAATGAAACACTCATTCAGTAACTTCGTTTTTACAGCAGTTTATCGGTGTTCAGCTTTAATGCCAACCACAGCTAACCAGATCTCCCCGATGCTTCGGCTGTCAAGTTGAGCACCGGTGTGCATACAGTTGAGCCTGAGAAGTTCATCCTTGATGGATGATGGTTCGTAAACAGGTGAGATATATCATCAAACGCTTCCTCGGTTCATGATGTCCCTTTGGACTTCGACGATGGAATCAAATTATCTGTATACTGTATGATACATGATTTCATTAATAGCATGCTATTCTATTCTGAATGTCGTCCTTATTCAATTAGGGTACTTGTTGCCTAGCTTTCTCACTGTGTGGAACCACAACGATTTGATTCAGTCTCATATTCCAACCGAACCCGTATCCTCTGAGTTTCTGCATGATCATATACACTTTCTTTTCACCATCCCCTAATCGCCTCCTTCGTCCACCTATTTTGCCCTTCTCCCCCTCTTTCATGGATCTAGGTTGTGGATCAGATATCTGCCATTGCAGGTGGTGCAAAACCGGAAATGGTCACAGAGTATGAGAAATCCTCGTGTACTCTACTCTAGGCTGTGGATCGTTTTTCGGAATCTGACTCCCTAGGTCTGTTTTTGATTAGCTGTTTGCTGGATCACCACGTGGACCGAAAAATGACGTTCGAGAGGCAAACCCTATCCAGGCCGCCTCCCGCGCTGATGCTTCACTCTGTGCGGTTCTCACGTGCGTGTTCCGAACACAATTGAAACAGATTTCTCGAGGCGGATTCCAACTTGCTTCTATACTATGTTGTTTTGAGGCTCAATTTGACGATACTAACTATTGTATTTGGTCAATGTTCTCACCGTTATCGATGTTTCTTCGACTCCAAATGATGTGAAGTAACCCCAATCCCCTGTTTTGTGATTTTTTTTCGGTAAAATAATTTGCAGGAAAACTTCATTGTTTTTCGTTGGACGAGAGTCCTTTGCGAGGCTTTCATCGTCTGTAGGCTACCTGTGGTATTCGGATGCGGCAGATAGTGTATATTATTATTCGGTTAGTTACTGAGATTGCTTATACCAGATTTATAAACGTTTCGAATCTCTTGTGACTAACTGTGGTTAGCCAGAATTGACACATGTTGCTCAAAATTTCGTCGATATCGGGTAGTCATCATCCGAGGAATCTGAGTCAGAAAACACTCGAAATCAATATGGCACGGGGAAACAGAGGCCGTTGCAAAAGTTCAACGTGTCACGCTGATCGGTGTACATGTCTTTGTATGTATGCACGCCAAGATTTCTGTGTGAGCATGTTCCCGCGCTTGTGTGGCTGAGTTTGGGTGCTCCCAGGATCGCTCGTGTTTGGCAAACACCGGCCGTTTTTGCGTTCCACAGACTTGGATACTCGTTTAACTGTTGTTCTGAATCGCACATTGGGGGATGGAATAGATAGAAGGATGATTCCGTATAACAATGTCAGGCACGGATAAGTAGTTCAGCACAGTGTTTCAGTTTCCGTTTTTACAACCACTAACGGAGCGCTTTCATGCGCCGGTTTTGGTTGCTGGAAGCAAACTCTTTCTTGTCAACGCACTTATTCTCACGGCATTGTTTCACTTAAATTGAACAGAAATCGTATTAACTATGTTTGGTCACATCCAAGAAGAATGTGGCCCGTACTTATCAGTTTCAATTTAAATAGCCATTAAGCATGCATTTCGGTGCGACGCTTTTGGTTGCTGTCTTTCGGCTGCCCATTTGGGTGAACCACAGGAGAAAAACAGGAAGGTTAAAAGTAGGCTCGAAGAGAAATTGAGAAGTTCAGTTGACTAATGATGCAGAGGAATTGAGATGCACGAACGCTACTGTTTACGACAACCAGCCATATCACTCAGTGTCTCTAACCATCGGTTACGATCATCCCGAGGTCCCCAGCCAGGGAGCCTAACAGGACCTACGTGACCCAGTTTCCTGGTTAGGGTTTTCATACCCTCGTGCCAGGTCTTAACTTGACCACCCTTGGCTTTTTTCCACTCGGTATCGCTCGCCGTGGTAACCTACCTGGTGACATGCATAACATATGCCCCCCCACCACCGTAATCTATGGAAGTCGACCACCTGCTCCACTGGGCGATCGCGATTGCCTAAAACTTTGGGCCTGGCCTCAGCATTGCTCAACCGGCTACCCCACCAGATTCGTGCAATGCTGCGTAGACAGCGGTGTTCAAAC